CTCATCCAGGCCACCCCCTGTTCGAACTGTTACCGTCAGGCAGAAGGTACAGGCAAAAACAAATAGACACAGCTTTTATCCATCAGCAATAACTGTAATCAACGCTGCTATATTGAACTGAACTTATTGAGGGATTGGTGCAATATGTGTGACTGTGTATGTGTATATGAATGCCTGTTCATGCTGCTTTTAGCTACTATTTATTTTACTATTTTAAGTTATATGTTAGGAATGATGCACTGGCTGGTCAGTACTTTGACATTTCGTTGTACATGTGACAAGGACAATGAAGTTTTCTATTTCTATTTCTATAATCAACTAACCTTAACATCACCAACGACTTAAGGGGCACCCTACCCAGCCGGGGCCCTGGGTCGGCCACACCTATGCTACCTCCACTTATGGACATGCTGCTAGATTTCTATTTTTGTGCATAAGGCCAAAGACTGCTGTATTGTCTCACTCACAAGTTACATATACATGAAATATAATTGTCAGGGTGGAGTCTACTGCAGTCGTTAGTTCAATTCAATTCAATTCAGTTTCATTTATATAGCGCCAAATCACAACAACAGTTATCTCACAGTGCTTTTCATTAAAGAGCAGTTCTAGACCGTACTCTATGATGCTATTTACAGAAGCCCAACAGTTCCCACTAAGAGCAAGCACTAGACAACAGAGGCAAGGAAAAAAATTCCTTTTAAGAGGCAGAAACCTCGAGCAGAACCATGGCTCAGGGTGGGCGGACATCTGCCTCGACCGGTTGGGGTGAAGGAGAGAGAGGGAGAGAGAGAGAGAGAGAGAGAGAGAGAGAGGGAGAGAGAGAGAGAGCAGTAGAGGAACAGAGAGAAAAAGAGAGGGATGTAAGGAGAGAGAGGGGAGGGAGGCAGCCTACACAATATACACACACAGAGGTACAGACAGTAAAGGTGATGTTGCTATAGACTGAATGAATAATGGTACAGATATTTATAGTGGTGTTAATGGTAACAGTCATAATGTTAATGATTATAATAACAATAATAACAATAGGACTAGGAACAATAGTTGTTGCAGCAGAGGGTGTCGAGCAGGAAGACGGGGGCAGCAGGTGGCCCGCAGCCACAGATCCAGACTCCACAGCTCCAGAGTCAGAAACACCTGCAGGAAGTGATAGGAGGAGAGAGGAGAGGGACGAGAAAGCACAAGACTACCGGAAAGGGGAGAAGTTGTGTTAGTAACATGCAATAATGGGATGAGGTTGCATACAGAGGGAGAGAAAGTAGAGGAGAGAGGAGCTCAGTGCATCATGGGAAATCCATGATGGGAAGAATGATTTTAAATTCTATTCTGGATTTTGCTGGAAGCCAATGCAGAGAAGCTAAAACAGGAGAAATATGATCTCTTTTCCTGGTTCCTGTCAGAACACGTGCTGCAGCATTCTGAATCAGCTGAAGAGTCTTAATGGACTTTTTTGAGCAGCCTGATAATAAGGAATTGCAGTAATCCAGCCTAGAAGTAACAAATGCATGGACTAGTTTTTCTGCATCATTTTTAGACAGGATGTTCCTGATTTTCGCAATATTACGTAGGTGAAAAAAGGCGGTCCTTGAAATTTGCTTAAAAAAGGTGCTTAGGCCCCAGAACAATAACTTCAGTTTTATCTGAGTTTAACATTAGAAAATTAGGTCATCCAGGTTTTAACATCCTGAAGGCACATTTGAAGTTTAGCTAACTGATGAGTTTCATCTGGCTTGATCGATAGATATAACTGAATATCATCTGCATAACAATGAAAGCTTATGGAATATTTCCTGATAATATTGCCTAAAGGAAGCATATATAAAGTGAACAGGATTGGTCCGAGGACAGATCCTTGAGGAACTCCATGACTAACATCCGGATCAAGTTTGGGCTTTTTCAGAAGAGGTTTAATTACAGTTACTTTAAAGTACTGTGGTACATAGCCTGTTGATAAAGATAGATTGATCATATCTAGTATAGAAGTGCTGACTAAGGGTAAAACATCTTTAAGCAACCTAGTCGGGATGGGGTCTAAGAGGCATGTTGATGGTTTAGATGAAGAAATTATTGAAGTTAGTTGGTAAAGATTGAGGGAAGCAAAACAGTCTAAACATATATCTGGTTCTACAGCTGTTTATAAGGTTCCTGAGTTTGGAGATAATTCGGTGCCAGTTGAGGGCAGGTCTTGGTGAATTTTGTCTCTAGTAGCTAGAATTTTATCATTAAATAAGCTCATGAAGTTATAACTACTGAGAGCATGGGAATACTTGGCTCAATAGAGCTGTGACTCTCTGTCAGCCTGGCTACAGTGCTGAAAAGAAACCTGGGGTTGTTCCTATTTACCTCTATTAATGACGAGTAGTACGCTGCTCTGGCATTACGGAGGGCCTTCCCCTAAGTTTTAAGACTATCTTGCCAAATTAAACGAGAATTTTCCAGTTTGGTGGAACGCCAATTCCTCTCAAGTTTCCGCGATATTTTCTTTAATTTGCGAGTTTCAGTATTATACCATGGAGCTAACCGTCTTTGTTTTATTATTTTCTTTTTTAGAGGGGCTACAGAGTCGAGTGTCATTCGCAGCGAGCCTGCAGCACTATCAACAAGATGATCGATTTGGGAGGGACTGAAATTAGCATAGGAGTCCTCTGTTACTTTGTGACTTGATAATGAATTTAGAGCTGATGGAATCGCATCCTAATCCTAAATTTAGCTACAGCACTATCAGACAAACATCATGTATAGAAATGTTTGCCCAATGGCGTGTAGTTCAGCAATACAAACTCAAAAGTTATCAAACAGTGGTCGGATAAAGAGGGATTCTGTAGGAACACCACTAAATGTTCAATTTCAATACCATACACCAATACACTCGGCCTGTGCCTCGAGGAATGTGAGTATTAATATGACTAGGAGGGGTGGATTCATTTAGGCTAACATATTCTCCATCACCCAGCCAGGTTTCAGTAAGACAAAATAAATCAATATCATAATCTGATATTAGTTCATTTACTAGTACACCTTTAGAAGAGAGAGATCTGACGTCCACATAGTCCACATTTAATTTTCCTATACGTTTGGACTATTGCTCTTGTGGTTTTAATTTTTATGAGGTTTTTATGCACAGCTCCTCTTCTGTTTACCTTTGATTTAAATAATTTCGATGGTCGGGGGGCAGACACTGACCGTCACTATAGGATTTTCACTAAGTAACTCCTGAAATGGAGGAGCAGAGAAGTGTGTTAGACTGCAACTCTGCCTCCTGGTCTCAACTCTGGGTTGTCATGGATTTGGTCCACTAATAAACTTGGCCACATTTCTAGAAATGAGAGCTGCTCCTTCCCAAGTGTGATGGATGCCGTCTCTCCGAACCAGACCAGGTCTTCCCCAGAAAGTCTGCCAATTATCTACAAAGCCCACATCGTTTGCTGGACACCACCTCGACAACCAGCGGTGGAATGACGACATGCGGCTATACATGTCATCACTGGTCAGATTTGGCAGGAGTCCAGAGAAAACTACGGTGTCCGACATTGTTTTTGCATATGTACACACCGACTCAACATTCATCTCAGTGACCTCCGATTGGCGTAACCGGGAGTCATTACCGCCGACGTGAATAACAATCTTACTGTATTTAAGTTTATCCTTAGCCAGCAGTTTCAAATAAGACTCAATGTCGCCCGCTCTGGCCCCAGGGATGCACTTAACTGTGGCCGCTGGCTTCGCTAACTTCACGTTTCTCAAAATGGAGCTGCCAATGATCAGAGTTGGTTTCTCAGCGGGTGTGTCGCTGAGTGGGGAAAATCTGTTAGAAACGTGAACAGGTTGATGGTGTCCCGCGGACTTTGAATGCTTGCGACTATTCCTCCTTCGGACAGTCACCCAGCCCCCCCTTCCTGGCTGCACAGAGGATGCCGGGGGACGGCTACCAGAGGCTAACTCAGGCCGTTCCGCACCGACTACCGGGGACTGGCTAGCTACAGTAGCTGAAGACTGATCTACCAAGATGCAGAGCCGGACTTCTAAATCACTGAGCCTCGCCTCCATGTCTATAAATAAACTACACTTGTTACACATACCATTACCGCTAAAGGAGGCAGAGGAGTAACTGAACATCTGACACACCGAGCAGGAGAAAGTAAGAGAGAGAGGTGGAAGGAGAAGCCATCGCTAGCTGCTAAGCTAAAGTCGCTAACGGCTAAGCTAAAGTACTGTGGCGTCAGCTACCAAAACTTTTGAACAACTATGAGATTGAACAGCAGTCACTAAAACATGGAAAGAACTGTGAGTGCTTAGGCAAAATTACTGTAAGAATAAGAGTTTAGCGGACAGTTGGCTGCTGTAAACTAACAAATGTAACTGTTATTTAGCGAGAGCAGCACAACACGGTACCAACACACAAGCACCGGAAACAGAAATGAGTCGACACGCTTACCGCAGTATGTCAGCAACCAGTCAGCGTCCAGTGGACGTACAGTTAGTATACAGTGTAAAGAGAACTGGAGAGCTAACATAGCTCTGAAGGGCACCAGTGCTGATTGGTGTGGGCTCTGAGAGAGAATAATTCACTCTGAGCAGCTGAGTACGGTTTTTAACAAAAAGTAAAATACCAGTTGAGACTCCAAGAGTGAACATTCACGTGTTTCAGTTTCTGGATGAGCATGTGAGGCTGCAGTGTTAAATGCTGAACTAAATTTGTGTGCATAGGACTTGGGGTCCTCAAGGTGTTTTATATATGTGTATTATAATTATTGTGCTTTAAGTTCTACTCCCTGAAACCATGACTACACCACCTAACCTCCTCCTTAACTGAGCAATTACAACTTACTGCTAATACAGAAATACCTGCAATATACTATCTATTGAAATAGCTACAGCATAATGCTATGCTATTATAGGTAGCTTGAGTGTGCAGGTTAACAAAGGAATTTCTCTGTGCATGTGAACAAAGCAGTAATTCTTCCTCCTCTCTCCATCTTGTTTCCTTGTTGTCTCAGTGATGATGAAGCAGATCTGTCTGCAGTCACTCCTCTGCTGGTGGCCTCCTACATCCTCTGCTACACTCCTTTTGTTGTGTCTGAGGTGACACATGCACTCACTCAAAAGTTACATATACATGAAACAACACAAGCTATTGTATCTGCATGTGCTTAGATGAATTTACACTCGTCCACTTGTCTACTCATAGACTGATTTTGTTTCTTTCTCTCCACTGACAAATCAGATGATCCTGCTGGGCAGGAGGGACCTGTCACCAGCACCTGAGTGGTTAAGGACACTGTCATCAGTGATGTCATACTTGGACTGTGGTCTGAACCCTCTTATCTATTGCTCCCATCAGCACTTCCGGGAGGCAGGCCTGGCCCTGCTGTGGACCAATAAGAAACCCTCATTAGAGCCCGTCCTCAATGCTATCATTAAACATGACTTGTAAACATGTGAGGGGTTTCACATTTATTTCACAGAAATTTCAAAAGGACAACCCCAGAATGGCACATCTTATAAACATGCATTTATCTGACATCGACATCACTATGTAATTACAGACAAATTCCTTGTTTGTGTTAATCTGCTTGACAATAAAGCTGATTTCCGAGAAATGAACGGTCCACTTTTGTTATTCATTTATAAAGTATTTTTTCCCTTTCTTTTAAATGTGTTAAAAGTAAAGAAATATATATTCTTATTGATTCATTTTGTTTTTGTTGCAATAATCCAAATTTCCACCTGAAATGTTTCAATTCAATTTTATCAGCTGAGACACAAGAGGTTTTCTATACCTTTCATTCTTAATATGGATTGTATGAAGAGTATACTGTATTGTGTCAGAGGTTCCTTTATGGGGACAGTTACCCAATCTTAGAAATCCTGAGGTCATGGTTGAAGTCCCCTTAGTGCACTTTATTTATTCAGTCATTTTTCCCCACAACACGAAGGTCTAGATGCTGTTCCACAACCACCTCCACAAAAACATCTGATTGAAAATATCAAATCCCTTGTTTATTTTTGTTACCTAAAAATGCCAAATTTACCCTTACAGAAATAGCATTTGACATTCATGTTTTCACATGTGAAATTTACAAAGACCACATGTGCCTGTTTTGAATGAATCACATATAAAAAAGCATTGATATGTGTAAAATCTGAATTTCATGTGATTACATTTCATTTGCGAGACATGAGTTTGAAGTTGCATGTCTTTGTCATGTACATTTATCACATTGTAAAGAAATTTCCTTCATTAAGGGTTACATCGCACAGGTCATGTCGGGGCGCTTAACAGAGGGTGTCAGACACTCTGAATCTGGACTTGCTTTTAAAAAGGAGGTGTAAAAAGGTTTTATTATGGAAAATGGAGAGTTGGGTACTTAAGATTTTAGGAAATGCACTATTTGTATTATGAGTCATAACTTTCATTAAAGCTTGACTGGCGGGCTGGGTGGACATCATGACTGGGTGAGCCCACTGTGGAAGGGTTTTTATCCTGTCCATTATTACAGTCCACTGTGGGCTGTATCGGTTTTTGTGATTCCAAATCTAATTCAGAGTCCAATCAAAGCCAGTTGTTTAATGTTGAATAGCCCAGTTACATAAGCCGATCAGAGCGTCCTCACTCCCGCTGTGAGGCGGTTTTTCCCTGCACCCTCTCTGTCAGCGTGGTCAGGAAACAGAAGCTGAAGTGGAACTGCAGCACGTCGCACACTTTGGACCAAAAGTGTCCGGTGAGCCGTTGGAAGAGCGACTGGCGAGCGAGCCAGTGATCCAGCAGCTTTAGCACCACGAACCCCGCACAGGACAGCAACGCCAGCAGCATATATCCGCGCGTGCGGCTGTCCCCGTGCCCCAGCTGCACGCGAACTCCCTTGTACGCCGCAAGGGCGACGTGACAGCCCAACGCCATTTCGAAGCCCCGCTCGTGCGCCAGCGCCAGACCGTAGCTGAGGATAGAGAACAGTTCCAGCGCTGCCGCGTCCGACACGCGCCACTTCGCCGGTCCCTGCTCTATATAGCGGATCCACACCGGGACCCACGCGAAGATCGGTAATGTGAACCACTGGTCGAGCACGGCGGGAGCGCGCCGTAGCACTGCCAAGCGCGTCCACTGTACGGGTCCGTAAAAGACAGCCATGAAAGCGAAAACTTGTCTCATATACCGGCTCCGCTCCGTTTCGCTGATGCCTCCCTGCCACCGTAGCCAATACAGTCCCATGCAGATGTAGGCCAGGTTAACCAGACAGTTACAGGGCATCGCCAGGAAACCGGGCATGTGATCAACCCTTTTCTCCGCATAATGGTCATAAGACAAGTCCACCTCCACATTGGCGAACAAGCTGGTGTTCGCCAAGGCGACGCAAAGCACAAACGGCGCCGATACGTGAAGCAGAGCCGACTTCATTACGGCTTTGTAGAAAACGGGTCCTTCGTGAAGCTCGAGTCCCGTTCCTGAGAGAAGACCAGTAGGAGTTGTTATTGTTATTCCGGGTTCCAAAATCACATGATAGAAAATGGAGGGTTCGAAGGCAACCGCCTTGCAAACCTGATTCAAACAAAACTATAGGCCTACCTATACTTTTTTATTTTTAAAATTTAAAATGATATATAAATTAAGAATACAGACACACTGAACAAACACATAGGCCTAAGGTTTAGAAAATATTTTTTCTATTCTATTTCCAGCTAAGCAAAGGGTAGGCTACGGAATCGCATTGCATTCACCAAAGAAAAAAGAACTGGAAGTCTTATATGTCATAATTACGAGATAAGATGTCATAATTACGAGAAAAGATCTCTAAATTAGAGATAACTGGAAAGGAGCCATTTATTACTGAGTTCAGTAAAGTTATATATATTATAACTATATTCACAGATTCGAACTTCCGGGATCAATACCTCGTAAGCAAAACGTGTTTAAAACACAAACGACGCCTCTTTATTATCGTAGTTAAGTAGACAACAAGCTACAAGTACATTTTCAGATAAATTAGTCTTCCTAGGAGCAGCACAAATAACACTGGTCTCTACGTGCAGCAGGTTGAGACGAGACCGCAGGGACCGTCTACAAAGTGCACCACCGAAAACACATTCTGCCGAGAAATTCAATAACTTCACACTTATACAATGTAGTGCCCCCAAAATCACCTTACACATTAATGATATACTGCTGGTTATACTACAACACTTAGTTGTAGTAACACTTAGTGTCTCAAAAATCACCCCAGGTATCAGTGATCTCATGTTGATGAGACTACCAAGCCTGTACTGCTGTATGGTATTTAGCAGCAAGATGCCTCAGCAAGACTACTTCCATAAGCCTCTACAGAAAACTGCAGAGCTGGAAACCAAGATCCACCAGTTAGAAGTAAATGTGGAAGTCCTCCCTGGATCTCTGGTGCAAGTCCAAGGAATAAATGACTTCCCTGGGAAATGGGACTACTATTTCCTGCTATCACCTGAAGAATATTATCCAAGATTAAATGACTTCTGTCTCAGTAGGATCTGGAAAAACATGTCCATGCATTTATCTTCAGTCAACTTGACCACTGTAACGATGTCTTTACAGGTCTTCCTAAAAAATCCTTCAGACAGCTGCTATGGTTCTTGACCGTCGTTTTCATTCTGTCAGAGAACTGGTTTATAAAACACTGAATGGTTTTGGGCCAAAATATATTTCTGATCCACCCAGACCTCTCAGGTGATCTAAACAGAGAGAAGTTGTGTTCAGTTTATATACTTAAATAATAATAATAATGATGATAATAATGAATTTTGGGGGCGGCGCGGTGGTGCAGTGTTTAGCACTGCAAGAAGGTAGCCTTTCTGTGTGGAGTTTGCATATTCTCCCCGTGTCCGCGTGGGTTCTCTCCGGGTGCTCCGGCTTCCTCCCACCCATCCAAAGACATGCAGGCTAGGTTAATTGGTGTCTTTAAATTGCCCTTAGGTGCAAATGTGAGTGTGACTGGTTGTCTGTAGATGTGTGGCCCTGCGATGGACTGGCGACCTGTCCAGGGTGTACCCCGCCCCGATGTCAGCTGGGATAGGCTCCAGCCCCCCGCGACCCTGTACACAGGATAAGCGGTTGACAATGGATGGATAATAATGAATTTTATTCATAACACACTTTACATTTGAAGAAAATCTCAAAGTGCTACAGGGTAAAAGCATAAATATAAAAACAAAGTTGGTCATAAAGCAGCAACCAGCAAGGTTAATAAAAAGTTATAAGTTCTGCTAAAAAGAAAGTTGTTAAGTCCTTTTTTTAAACTCTCAGTAGTCTGAAGTGCCTTCCGATGGTCGGGGAGGGTGTTCCAGAGCCCAGGAGCAGCACAGCAGAAAGCCAGATCACTTATGGTGCTGAGCTTCTGGGGAAGCAGAGGCCATTTGAGTTTGTTAAACGAAGGGATCGTTTTAAAGTTAAAGGGGTAAGTAGTTCTTTCAGTGCCATGGAGCCACTGGTGAGAGAGGAGGGAGACATTGTATTCAACCCTGGCAGAGACGGGAAGCCAGTGAAGTGAGAGGAACAGAGAGAAAAAGAGAAGGATGGAAGGAGAGAGAGGGGAGAGAGGCAGTGTACATAATATAGACACGCAGAGGTACAGACAGTAAAGATGATGTTGCTATAGACTAAATGAAAAATGGTACAGATATTTAAAGTAATGTTAATGATAACAATCGTAATGATAATGATTATAATAACAATAATAGTTGTTGTAGCAGAGGGTGTCGAGCAGCAACACGGGGGCAGCAGGTGACCCGCAGCCACAGATCCAGACTCCACAGCTCCAGAGCCAGAAACACCTGCAGGAAGTGATAGGAGGAGAGAGGAGAGGGACGAGAAAGCACAAGACTACCGGAAAGGGGAGAAGTTGTGTTAGTAACATGCAATAATGGGATGAGGTTGCATACAGAGGGAGAGAAAGTAGAGGAGAGAGGAGCTCAGTGCATCATGGGAAATCCATGATGGGAAGAATGATTTTAAATTCTATTCTGGATTTTGCTGGAAGCCAATGCAGAGAAGCTAAAACAGGAGAAATATGATCTCTTTTCCTGGTTCCTGTCAGAACACGTGCTGCAGCATTCTGAATCAGCTGAAGAGTCTTAATGGACTTTTTTGAGCAGCCTGATAATAAGGAATTGCAGTAATCCAGCCTAGAAGTAACAAATGCATGGACTAGTTTTTCGGCATCATTTTTAGACAGGATGTTCCTGATTTTCGCAATATTACGGAGGTGAAAAAAGGCGGTCCTAGAAATTTGCTTAATGTGAGACTTAAACGACATGTCCTGATCAAAGATAACTCCAAGATTCCTCACAGTGGTGCTGGAGGCCAGGGTGATGCCATCAAGGGAAACTATATCTTTAGATAATGCATCACGGAGGTGCTTAGGCCCCAGAACAATAACTTCAGTTTTATCTGAGTTTAACATTAGAAAATTACAGGTCATCCAGGTTTTAACATCCTGAAGGCACATTTGAAGTTTAGCTAACTGATGAGTTTCATCTGGCTTGATCAATAGATATAAGTATAATCTGCATAACAATGAAAGTTTATGGAATATTTCCTTATAATATTGCCTAAAGGAAGCATATATAAAGTGATGAGGATTGGTCTGAGGACAGATCCTTGTGGAACTCCATGACTAACTTTGCGTGCATGGAGGACTCATCGTTAACATTTACAAACTAATAGGACTTAAACCGGCTTAGAGCGGTTCCTTTAATGCCAATGAAATGTTCCAGTCTCTGCAATAGGATCTGATGGTCAGTGGTATCAAATGCAGCACTAAGATCTAATAAAACCAGTACAGAGACAAGTCCTTTGTTTGATGCAATAAGGAGGTCGTTAGTAATTTTCACCAGTGCTGTCTCTGTGCTATGATGAGATCTAAATCCTGACTGAAAATCCTCAAATAAACTATTGCTCTGTAGAAAGTCACACAGCTGTTTAGCAACTGCTTTCTCCAGGATCTTAGAGAGAAATGGAAGGTTAGATATAGGTCTATAGTTGGCTAAAACATCCGGATCAAGTTTGGGCTTTTTCAGAAGAGGTTTAATTACAGCTACTTTAAAGTACTGTGGTACATAGCCTGTTGATAAAGATAGATTGATCATATCTAGTATAGAGGTGCTGACTAAGGGTAAAACATCTTTAAGCAACCTAGTCGGGATGGGGTCTAAGAGGCAGGTTGATGGTTTAGATGAAGAAATTATTGAAGTTAGTTGGTAAAGGTTGAGGGAAGCAAAACAGTCTAAACATATATCCGGTTCTACAGCTGTTTCTAAGGTTCCTGAGTTTAGAGATAAGTCGGTGCCAGTTGAGGGCAGGTCTTGGTGAATTTTGTCTCTAATAGCTAGAATTTTATCATTAAAGAAGCTCATGAAGTCGTAACTACTGAGAGCTATGGGAATACTTGGCTCAATAGAGCTGTGACTCTCTGTCAGCCTGGCTACAGTGCTGAAAAGAAACCTGGGGTTGTTCCTATTTACCTCTATTAATGACGAGTAGTACACTGCTCTGGCATTACGGAGGGCCTTCCTATAAGTTTTAAGACTATCTTGCCAAATTAAATGAGAATTTTCCAGTTTGGTGGAACGCCAATTCCTCTCAAGTTTCCGCAATATTTGCTTTAATTTGCGAGTTTCAGTATTACCATGGAGCTAAACGTCTTTGTTTTATTATTTTCTTTTTTAGAGGTGCTACAGAGTCGAGTGTCATTCGCAGCGAGCCTGCAGCACTATCAACAAGATGATCGATTTGGGTGGGACTGAAATTAGCATTGGAGTCCTCTGTTACTTTGTGACTTTAATGTATTTAGAGCTGATGGAAAAGCATCCTTAAATTTAGCCACAGCACTATCAGACAGACATCTTGTATAGACATTTTTGCCCAATGGCGTGTAGTTCAACAATACAAACTCAAAAGTTATCAAACAGTGATAAAGAGGGATTCTGTGGGAACACTATTAAATGTTCAATTTCAATACCATATACCAAAACAAGGTCGAGGGTGTGGTTAAAACAGTGAGTCGGTCTATGAACACTCTGAGAGAAGCCAATGGAATTTAACAGAGAGATAAACGCAGTACTAAAGCTGTCATTCTCAACGTCCACATGAATATTAAAATCCCCTACAATAATAACTTGACAAAAACTCTGCAAATTCAGATAAGAATTCAGAGTACGGACCAGGTGCTCGGTACACTATAACAAAAAGAATTGGTTGCAGTGATTTCCAACTTGGATGTGAAAGACTAAGAACACGGCTTTCAAATGAGTTATAGTTTAGTTTAGGTTTAGAGCTGATTAGTAGGCTAGAGTCGAAGATAGCTGCAACTCCACCTCCTCGGCCTGTGCCTCGAGGAATGTGAGAATTAATATGACTAGCAGGGGTGGATTCATTTAGGCTAACATATTCTCCATCACCGAGCCAGGTTTCAGTAAGACAAAATAAATCAATTTCATAATCTGATATTAGTTCATTTACTAGTACACCTTTAGAA